GGTTTGACCCCCCTCCTCCTTTCAGGGTGGAGCCTGCTGGAGGCCGATTCTTAACTCCAGGTCCATGGAGATGTAAGTGTGTTTTTCATCTGATTCATGACAACAAAGCAGCTCACATTCAACCATCTTCAAACTGTCACATCACTCATTCAGGAGTCAAAGTGTCAATAAATGATCAATAACTGCAGCTGGATTGTGTTTGTTCTCTCCATCAGATTCCTGTCAACTCACCATCGACACAAACACAGTGAACAAAAAACTCAAACTGTCTGAAGACAACAGGAAGGTGACATGGGAGAAGGAGTTTCAGTCATATCCTGATCATCCAGACAGATTTGATTACTGGAATCAGCTGCTGTGTAGAACTGGTCTGACTGGTCGCTGTTACTGGGAGGTCGAGTGGAGAGGAGGAGTTTATATATCAGTGAGTTACAGAAGAATCAGGAGGAAAGGAATCAGTAGAGACTGTGTGTTTGGATGGAATGATCATTCCTGGAGTTTGAGATGCTCTGATGATGATGGTTATTATGTATGTCACAATAACATAGAAACTCGTCTCTCCTCCTCCTCTGTCTCTAACAGAGTAGCAGTGTATGTGGACTGTCCTGCTGGCATTCTGTCCTTCTACAGAGTCTCCTCTGACTCACTGATCCTCCTCCACACCTTCAACACCACATTCACTGAACCTCTGATTCCTGGTTTTACAGTCTGGTGGGCCATTTATGGTTCCTCTCTGTTTCTGAGCTGATTTGAGTCTAAAGAGTCTAAAGATTTTCATCCTGCTACAAAATCTCTGACTGATTAAAAGATAGTTCAGTGTCTATATGTCTGTTTCATTCAGAAACATATTTTTATGGATTCAATCTGTTTCTTGGTTAAACTTTTCTACACAATCCTGGGATTATTCCAGGATTATAACTGGATTAACTGTTGTTTTTTCTGTTTCCAGTCAAAGATTCACAATGAATCTCAGGATGTTTTGTTTCTCTCTTGATTTTTTTTCTTCTGTCGTTTATCATCAGATTCTTTGAATTTACTGCAGTTTTTTCTCAATCACTGGATATTTTTAGTTTCTGTTATCTCCTATATTCTTAAATTCATCTTGGATTCAAATGTTATTTTTTGTATTTTTACTGCTGTTGTACTTCATGTGTTTTAATGAGCAATAAACATATTTTAATTTAAAATATAATTTTGTTAACAAATGTGAATCTACTTTATTTGCTGCTGCCAACAGCAGACATGTCTCAGTTTAATGGATCCACCATGTTGGAGAAGGAAGAGAGGAAAATATTCTGCTTCTCTGTGATTGTCATGTTATTGTCAAATTGGTCATAAAATATTAATATTTATAGAAAGAGCCTTCAAACCTGACCCAGTTCTACTGGTTCTGTCAGGAGGAATGGACCAGAACTCCAACAAGTTCTCATGAGAACCTTGTGGAGGAAACCCTGATATTTGACAAAGTCAGACAGTTTCATGGAAATTTGACCAAAACCTGAAGAGATAAAATTCAGATTTACTGGAGGTTATTAGAGTACTGGGTCTTAATGTTTTTACTTTATATAAATGATATTTACAATGAATCTAACTGGTTCACATTTATTTGCTGATGGTTCTACATAATGTAGCTCTGGGACGTTGTGAAGTGCACAATTCAGAGACTGAGATCCAGACAAAAGTCAGGGAGCAAAAACAATCTTTAATACATCTGCAGACGGAGAGCAAGAAATATACTGCATTAGGCACAAATTAGGATCCGCTCTGAGGAACCCAGAGTTGCATAGTTACTTTATTCATCTCTCTTTACTACCGAGGCGGAGACTCAATCTTCGAAGACCAAACAAAAGAAACAAAGCAAAACATGCGAAACCTTGTATGCTCATTCACTGTAATGTCTATGGAAGGTGAAAACTAAACACTCTATCTCCATGCAGGGAAGGCCACGGGAAAAACAGCGAGTTCCCAAATAACTGTCTGGGAAGTTCAGCAACCCTGGGAAACTTACTTCAGTAGACACATCATGTTTCATTAGGTTGTACACCATTTCCAGCTGCACAGAAAAACACCTTGACTGTGATTCAAAAAACATTACATTTATATGATACATAAAGGAACACTATTTAATATGAATAAAACTTCTTCACAGACGTTTTTAGAAGCTTCTCAGTTTAATGGACCCACCATGTTGGAGACCATTAGATACAAGCATTGAAGAAATAATATGGCAAAAAATAGAATATCACTAATTTATGGCAAAAGAAACATTTTGATATTTAGTAACAAGAAAAAAAAGTGATATCAAGCTGATGATAACACACGAATAAAACGAATGTTTGTCTCTAGGCAGCGGCGGTCCGTAATGTTCTGGGGTCCACCTGGATTTAGCTGACCTTAATATTTCCTGTGTTTTATTTTGGTCATTTTTATTACAGTTAGTGTTGATATGTGTGTGATAGGCGAGTCTATCAGACATTTATAGAAACACTGAGAAAATCGCGTTCCCTTTCGGTTCATTACGGGACGATTCCGTATAAACTCCTGACGACCAGGAAAAAAATATTGTCCAATCACCATTTTTTTAAATTCCACAACCTTTGTAAGGTTATTAGAATACTGAAAACATTTTTTGGGGAAAAAAAAGTTATTTTTGAAATACAAAGTATCCACTACAGTGGACATCGGAACGCCATACATTTGAAACTGGGAACCAGTTTGCCCAAAGAAAATATCCAAACATCAACAATTTCACATTGACAAAACTGTCCATCATCACTAACATAAATATTAGCGTGAGTATCATAGCAATTCCTGTGCTACTGGACTGAGCTGTGGACTGTCATGTTTTATCTGACTGCATCTGTTTGCCCTATTTGAATTTCATCCTCAGAGCTCTCTGAACTTCCTCTGCTACTGCCTGAAACATTGCATCTTCATCTTCTTCATCAGATACTGTACTTTAACAAAGACAGAAAAGACAAAAGAGTTAGATTCTTTCTTACTCGCGAGGAGAACAGACAGAGATATGCTTCAGTTTACAATCTCCTGCCGCTCTGAAGCATATTTTTCTGCTCCTCTCTTTTTATTGTTTTCAGGATCCTTAATCACAAGGACGCTGTAGCTCTAAAGGGGGGGAACAACTCATCACATAGCTACAGCGTCAAATGTCATTCACTAACTAACACACAATCATTCTGCACTAGATAATCTCCTTCCAGGCACAAAGATTAATAAAATATGTAGTGATCTTAGCAATGATGGCTTTATTGGAGGCCAGCAACTCAACCGAAGCAGAGCTCTTCACCAAGAGGTAAACCTGCAGGAAGATTTTGTTTCTGCTTTCTGTCAGTGAGGCCTTCTGAGAAAGGAATCAGAGTAAATCAACAATACAAGAGACATACTTAATTCTATAATGACATCAAATGATAAAGACACAAAAGAAAGACAATATGATAAGATTATATGAGAATAACAATATTTGATTAATAATATCACAATTTCTCCAACAATCCATCAGAGACTCAAACCAGAACCAGAAAGAACCCAGCTGTGTGTCCTTTAAGAGCAACAGGTCAAAGATTGAACCCTTTGACTTTAAATCTGCTGGATCTCCACCATCAGAGAGGTGAGCTGTTTCTAACTGCTGTAACTTCTGTTTATATCTGTTATTGTGGCCATGTGATGATAAGTTCTGTTGGGTTCTGTTGTCATGAAAACATTGGACTGAATTTTATTTTCTTTTAATATGTGCTCTTCATTAATGACATTGATGTCTCTCAATAATCAACTTGGGAAGATTGTATCATGGACTTCATAGGATCCAAATATGTGTATTTTGGGTTGTTGGTGACTAGATGGGACAATGGCCTCCAGTATAAGAACCAAGAGCTGATAGTTATTGAACCTGGAGGCCATACAAGTTTCTGACTGCTGTGGTGGAATCATTGTTAACGCTGTTTCTGTGTATCATGGAATAAATGGATTTGTTCACAAATGGTTCATCTGACTGGAACAAATTCAGAATTTGAACAACAAAGATCTCTGAGTTTTACTTTACATGCAATCAACAGGTACAACGTTATCCACTCACCGTGTCATAAAAAAGCAGCAACGGATCAACACTTAACTAGTTCAGTATTAAACTGGCTTCTATACTGTCAAGGAATTTGCCCATTTTGGAGTTTGATGACCTCTGATGTTTTTGAACAAAGCCATGGAGACTATGTGGAGCAGACAGAGAGTTTGGGCTGTTAGGAGCTGGTGAAGTGGTTGCTAGCTGGACTATCACTACAGAGCTGAATTATCAGGCTGTGGCCTCAGCAGAAAAGGGTTGGATGGACACAATGGCATACTGACAGTGATTGAAAGGACGTGAAACCATTGGACCACGGCACCAATGGATCGGATGGATGCGGTGGCAAACAGTCAGTGATTGAGGAGGATGAGCTCACTGGATGGAGAACCTGGGTCTTTGAAGGTCATTGTGGATTGAATCACAGAATGTCAACAGGCGCCCAACGAGGTTTGTGTAGTGCTACACCTTTGACGGTGTGAAGAGCACAATTCAGAGACTGAGGTCCAGACAAAAGTCAGGGAGCAAAAACAATCTTTAATACATCTGCAGACGGAGAGCAAAAATCCTCTGCATTAGGCGAAAATCATTCTGCTGTAACAAACTCAGAGTTGCATAGTTGCTTTATTCACCTCTCTCTGCTAACAGAGGCAGAGACTCAATCTGCTAAGACCAAACAAAAGAAACAAAGGAAAACAGACAGAACAGTTCAACCTTTTACTCTCATTCACTATCATGTCTACGGGATGTGAAAACTAAACACTTTATCTCCATGCAGGGAAAAACAGCAAGTTCCCAGATAATCCGTCTGGGAAACTTCAACAGACACATCTTGTTCAGTTAGTTTGTACACCCTCTGCAGCTGCATGAAAAAACATTTTCAATATGCTACACTGTATGATGCAAATAAAAGATTTTCTCTTTAAAGAAAAATCTACTTCACAAGTTCTTCAAAGGCATCATCCACGACAGAGACCCAAAGGATGAAACTGTCAAGGTGAGCATACAGGTGCAGGTTAATACATTTAGAATAGTTTAATAATTCAGTTCAAAAAGTGAAACATTTACATTCAGTACTCAAAATGTATCAATTTTGATAATCAAGTTATAAAAACCACAAATAGCTTCTCATAAAATTTAAATATTACAAAAGACCAGTCCAAATGTCTACTATGCTAATAATGTTAAATATTTTTAACTATAAAATGTATTTACAAAAAAAAAAAAAAAGCAGGTAGCTTAGTGTGTTTAATGCAAGTATGGAAAGCTTAGTGGAAGAAAAAACTTTAACAGAAACAGCTGAAAACACAATAATTTCACATGCAATTCACTTTTTGAACTGAAATATTGTAACAAATCAGAGGGAATCTTTGCTGAGATTCATCTTTGGACTGATTTCTGTAAACCCGGGGTCCCCAAAGTGGATCCCTAAAGTGGATCCCTAAAGTGGATCCCTAAAGTGGGTCCCCAAAGTGGGTCCCCAAAGTGGATCCCCAAAGTGGATTCCTAAAGTGGGTCCCCAAAGTGGGTCCCTAAAGTGGATCCCCAAAGTGGATTCCTAAAGTGGGTCCCCAAAGTGGGTCCCCAAAGTGGGTCCCCACAGTGGGTCCCCAAAGTTGATCCCCAAGAAGTTCTCGAGGACCGGCATCCTGCATGTTTTACTTTTCTCCCTGGTTTAAAACACCTGGATCAAATTGTGGCTCATCAGAAGGCCTGAGAAAAACACTGACATGCTGAGAAGGTTGTTTGTACCACTAGGGGGAGAACTAAACCCTGCAGCATGCCGGCCCTAGAGGATCCACTTTGGGGACCCCTGCTGTAATCAAACATGTCTGTTATCATTTCCTGGAGCCTTCTTATGTTTTCAGCAGTATTTGTTGTTTTGGTAATAATCTGAGTTTGGTTGGTTATGAAGGTGAAGGAGGAAGCCAAACCAAAGTTCTACGGGACGGTGACTCCGTATCCAAACTTCAGTGCCAGCAGTGATGCATCGACCCTTCAGAGCGCCATCCAAAGTAAAAGTGTGTGACCAGAAATGTTCTTGTTTCTGTCAAATGCATGTTTTAATTTTGATAAATTACTGAAAACCTTCACCATTTCAGGTCATTTTTGGTTTTCATTGAGGCTTTAGCTTTGGAGAAACGACCATTTTTAGCAATAGTTGTATTTTTTTCTGTCTAGAGGTGGATGTGGATGTGATCGTTGCCATTCTGGTGAAGAGGAACAACGAGCAGAGGCAGAAAATTAAAGCCGTTTACGAATCGTCCTCTGGAAAAGTAAGTTGTTGCTGCACAAAGATGCAAAAGATGTAAAAATGGCGGACAGAGCAGAGAGATTACAGTTTTAAATAACTTAAAATGGCTGCAAAGACTTTTTTTTATTATAAATATAATACAAATTAAATTTAATTAAATGTGGGTTTAACTGAATAATAATAAAGTTCAGCAAGATATTTGATCTTTCTTATTTTATATCATTGAATGCTACAATAAAATGCAATGTTATGTAATTAGAGCTACTACAGGTTTATTAACAATGTCTCACAATAACATATTACATAAATACATTAATAAATAGAGGCACTTTAATTTCTGTAGATTTGGTGGAATATCTAATATTTTTGTTTAGCTTCATTTTCTATAGTGGAAACAAATGTTTTTTGTCATTTTTTCCAGAATCTGGTTGGATCCCTGAAGCCGGTCCTCAGGTCCGATTTGGAGGACGTGGTTCTGGCTCTGCTGATGCCTCCAGCTCATTTCGATGCCTTCCTGCTCAGGAGAGCCACCAAGGTAAACCGGCTCAGATTTACAATCCTAACTGTCAGCAAGATGAAAAATACTCAATCATTTGTATCTGCTGTGCGAATAAAACGAGTTTAAAATGCCACTATCCATAATTATTAACATAAAAAGATGCACCTTTGAATTAAATATTGATATTTAAAATGAATTCACATAGATTATCTAGAAGTAGGGATTATGTAGAAGAAGTTCTCAGGATAATTTGTCTTTACTTTTGGTCCAACATTTGGTGCCTTTTACCTTTTGGAGGGAATTTAGTTTAAATGATGGTTCTGTCTCTTTTTTGTCCTGTTTATGCTGCAAAAATATAAACCTTGCCAAGTAACTTTGGTCTAGATTCTCATGCAAATATTTTAGTTCACTTTAACTAAGATATTTGAGAACTTCTCAGCAAAGTAGGATCTTGTTTTAAAGAAAATAATTCCTTAGTATTGATGAAACAGTTTTAGTCCTATTGGCAGATCATTTCACGTATAACAAGTAATTTTAAAATTTATTTGAAACAAAAATTCTCCTTCTGTATCAACCATCATGCGCTGGCAGGACGATCTTGTTTCATTTCTGAATTGTTGTCAGGTGGCCACACAGACTCAGCCCAGGGGCCACATGTGGCCCGCGGGCCTCACTTTGGACCCACCTGTGCTTTAGGATCAACGTTGCCGTGCGTTGCTGATAAATGTCGTCTCCCCGTCTGTTGCCACAGGGTCTGGGGACAGACGAGGACGTCCTGGTCGAGGTTCTGGCCACCAGATCCTACGCAGAACTTCAGGAAATAAAGAAAGTCTTCAAACAAGGTTTTTATACCAGACTCTCAGTTTACACCTGTTCTCATGTGAAGTCACACCTGTTCTCATGTGACGTCACACCTGTTCTCATGTGACGTCACACCTGTTCTCATGTGACGTCACACCTGTTCTCATGTGACGTCACACCTGTTCTCATGTGATGTCACACCTGCAGGCGGTTGCTGTGACATCAGTAAACAAGCCAGAATCCAGGAAGTAGCTCTCGTTTTGTTCCTTTATAACTTATAAACAATAAAAGCTCATTAGAACGACTTCAGAACTCAATTAAGATAAAATATCTGTGATATTTACTGTAGTTCTTATGATGGAGCTAAATTAGCTCATCTAATGTCGATTATCTATGTGTTTGTTGCTGCATGTTCTTTCTCTCACAGTCACTTCAACAGTTTGAGTCTTTTATTGATCCGTTTAAACACCGACTGCATTCGTCTATAGATTTCAGCAGAACTCTTTGTTTACTGCATAATAATATGAGATCAAAACACTTAAACACACAAAATCTGATCAAGTAATTTTGCTCTAATTTCTACTGCAAATACCTTAGTACACTCGACATACAGCAAAGTAACTTGCAATTAACTTTTTAGCAACAAATAATTTTACTTGCATGGAAAAATTGTTTGGTTGCAAGTGAAATAATCTGTCAGTTAAACTGGAACTTATTTAAAATCAATATTAAGGAATTGTTTACTAAAACCAAAGTCATATATTTTGCTGAATTTGTGAATTGTAAGATATTTTTGTTCTATTTCAAGTGTAATAAAATATTTACACTAGAAACTCGGCCAGAAATACTTAAGTTTTTGCAGTGATGAAGCTCCAGCTCATGCAGGTCGATCCCGCCAGCAGCCATTTTGATCCTGTTTCTTTCTCATTGGTCCAGACTGTCCACTTATTTTCTCTTTGTTATTCCTGAATCCATTTGTTCAGTTTAAAAGTTGAAGGTTTTGAGCTGAATCTTGTGGTCAGAGTACCAGAAGGAGCTGGAGCAGGTGATTAAGGATGAGACCAGCGGTGACTTCACCGCGGCGCTGCTGGCCATGCTGAACACCAAGAGAGACCAGAACACTGTGGTGGACATGGAGCTGGCCAGAAAGGACGCCAAGGTAGAAATTAAATCAAGAAACGCAAATCTGAGTCATTCAACTTTCTATATTTAGTGATTTTTCTGTATGTTATTTTGATTTGTGTACAAGTATGAAAAACCCATAAGTTCTCGTGTTGAAGTTGAGATTTTAAGATTTAAGTATTTCTGCTTTTATCAGGCGACTAAATGTCCTCATTTCATTTTTCTGTTTTCTTGTCCAGATTTTGTTTGAAGCTGGTGAAGGCATCGGAAAAGCAAACGTGTCGACCTTCATCAACATCCTGACCACGCGCAGCGGCCCGCAGCTTTCTAAAAGTGAGTCACAGAAACGTGTCAATTGTTGAGTTTCACTCCAAAGTGACGTTACACCTGGACAAACAGGTGGAGTCGCACTGACATTTGACCGGGTCACACCTGGGCACCAAACAGAAGACTAGCTGAGAAATATTCAATGACCTGAACAAGTTATGTCACAAGAATTTGAGACGATGTTGAGTTTTAATCAGACAGGAAAACATCCAGGCCACTAGAGGGGGGAAGTTTCTGAGATTAAATTTAGGATTCTGAAATTTTCATGGAAAAAAGTGTAAAAAGTGTAAATTAATATTTTCAAAAAGTCTGAGTTATAGCTTTTTTGACAATCTGAATTCTGGGAAAAATTTGAATTCTGAGATTAAAATTGAAATTCTGAAAAAAAATAAAATGAATTATTTTTTTTTCCCAAAAAATTCTGGACTCAAAGAAAAAATTAACATATGAGAAAAAACAGGAATTTTGAGATTAAAATTAGGATTGTGAGTCTAAAGGTGGAATTTTTGACATTTTCAGAAAATTTTTTTAAAATTCTGGGGAAAATCCAAAAGTTTTTAGATTAATTAGAATTTTGAAATTAGTGGTAGGATTCTAATATTTAGAAAAAAAGTCAGATTTCAGAGGGAAAGCCAACATTTTGAGATTAGATTAGATTGAACAGGATATTTTAGTGGCCATAATCTTCTTCCATATGATAAGTGTAATCCAATTCAACATTTACTCTCAGGTTTTCAAGAAAAAAACACAAATATAAGTCAACTTCCACCATGTATTCTACTGTTTTTCCTCATGGATACAATATCTTCTGCTTTACAGCAGGAATGTATTTAAAAGCAGTAACATATATTCAGTTCATTAGTTGAAATGAAAGTTGTGTTTTTGTTTCCTGCCAGCGTTCCAGCATTATGCTGCCATCAGCGACCTGACGCTGCCTAAAGCCCTGCAGTTGGAGCTGAAGGGAGACATCGAGGATTGCCTCATCGACATCGGTGGGAAGGCCTGTCACCAAAACTCATCAATCTCCCAACTAATAACATGATTAGTTATTAATGCTATGAAATATGCAAAATATATTCATTTCTAAAGAAAATTTAACATTTTAAATATTCAGAATATTAGAATTTTATGTCTCACTTGTTGAATATGAAAAATAAATACGATGAATTGCTCCCTCTAGTGGTGGTTCTAGATGTGGCAGCACTTATAAATCCAATAATTTCCACATTTACATCCAAATCAAATATTTTACTTTTCAATCTCAAAAACTTTTTTACATTTTTGGGTGTTTGACTTTTTTATTTCTCAAAATGTTCTGAAATTAATTAAAAAAGTTTAAAAACTAAAATTTCTGCATTTTTTGTAGAAAATTTTTGGAATTAATCTTAAAAATTTGAGTTTCTTCTGTAAAAGTTTTGACTTTTGGAACTCAAAATTTTTTCTAAATGTTATGTTTTTTGGTATAAATGTGCTATTTTTTCTTTTTTTATCTGCAATGGCCCTAATATGTTGTTTTACTCTTAGACTTGGATCCCAAACTGAACAGAAAATTGTTTATTTTTTGTTTGGTTTGAGTCCATCAGAATCCAGCTGGTTTAAATGTTTCTCACCTTTTTGTTCATCTTGAAAAGTTTCTGGTTGAGCTGAACCCTGAAGCTCCACAGCTGGAGACACAGAAACATCTGGACTCTGTTATTTTTGTCTGTGACAGAGTTTATATTTTCTGTTTCCTCTTTCATGTCCAGTGAAATGCGCCTGGAACACACCGGCTTTCTTTGCTGAGAAACTCAATCGGGCCATGAAGGTGAGTGAACGCGTCTGCTGCTCCTAATCCCACTAATAACATGGTTAAAATAGGGATTATTCTGGATTATTACGGCTACAGTGTTCATATTTTACCATGTTTTAATAAACTCCTTACTTTGGAGTGATATGGAAAGCCATCTTGACATGAAATTGGTTTTGTCTGTTTGTAATTAAATTCCAGTAAAAAAAATTGTTTTTTATGATGCCATATTAATAGCAGTGTAGATAGAAAAAGGAAGAGAACACTAATGCTAAAAAAGCTCAAAGTTTTATAATCTCAGGAATGCTTTAGAAAAAAGTTAAAATTTCTGATTGAAATGTCAAATATTTGCTGGAAAATCTCAAATTTTGACTTTAATCTGAGAAAATTGCTAGAAAATCCTTTGACATTTCTGAGTTTGTAAAGTTCAAAATGTGCAAGAAAAAATCTAATTTTGAGATTCATCTAAAATGATAAATTTCTGAGGCTGAAAAGTTGAAAATTTGCCAGAAAAAATTCTAAAATATTTAATTTAACCTCAGAAATGTTGCAGAAAAAACAGAGAAATGTCTGAATTTGATCATTCTAAACTTTGTTGGAAAAAACAGACATTTTTATATTTATCTCAGACATTTTCTAGAAAAAAAGGACAATAGAAAGTTGAAAATTTTAATCTTTTGACAAGAAATTCATTTACAACATGATATATGTTGTATGTAAAATAATCTGCCAGTGAAACCACAACTTTTTAAAAATATCAATATAAAGATATTATTGACTTAAAACAAGCTCATATATCTTTGATTTTTGAGCAAGATATTGTTTTGTCTTATTTAAAGTGTTTCAAGACATTTGCACTAGAAACTAAACCAAAACCACTTGGTAAGATTTTTAGTTTTTGCAGTGTAGAAAGGACCTTTTGGCAAACTATATTTCTAAGATTGTTAACAGTTTTTTATGCAACATACAGTTTTTGTTACATTAACATAACCTAATAATTTAACCAAACTAAGATCCATGAAAATGAATCAAAATGTCCAACTCAAACTTCCTGTTGTCCATTTTGTGCCTTACCAGGGCCACGGTACGAGGGATCACACTCTGATCCGGATCCTGGTGAGCCGCTCCGAGGTCGACCTGCAGAAGGTCGTAGAGGAGTACCGGGCAATGTTTGACAGAACCCTCCATGAGGACATCGTGGTAAAATACGTTTCCCAAACTGTTTCTATGTTTACGTTTCAAACCACATCAATAATGATTTTTTATTTTTGTTTTAACAGAACGACACCAAAGGACATTATCAGAAAGTCCTGCTGGCTTTGTGCGGACCGTACTGAAAACTTGAAGACCTGAAAACCTGAAAACCTGAAGACCTGAAGACCTGAAGACCTGAAGACCTGAAGACCTGAAAACCTGAAGACCTGAAGACCTGAAGACCTGAAAACCTGAAGACCTGAAAACCTGTAAACCTGAAGACCTGAAGACCTGAAAACCTGAAGACCTGAAGACCTGAAAACCTGAAGACCTGAACACCTGAAAACCTGAAGACCTGAAGACCTGAAAACCTGAAAACCTGAAGACATGAAAACCTGAAAACCTCTGAGGAAACAAAAAATAAGTAAAATTTATGCTCTAATAAAGTTTCTCTTCTATTTCTGTCTCTTTGTTTTAATGCTGCTTGTAGAAAAAAATGTAAGCAGAAAAAAATACAGGAAGAATGAAAATGTTTGCTTGTTTATCTGTTTCAGTTTGAGATTATATCTGGAAATTGTTTAAATGGAGACGTGTCTGATCCAACATGCCTGCAGGAAGGACATTATATAGTTTATACTGAGATTAATTGACACAAATTCAATAAAAATAACGTTTTTATCCCTAAGGGAAATTAAATGTTTTAACTGATATTATCTAAGGTTCTTCAGAGTTCACCAGAAACAGACAACCTTCACTTCCTCCACATGAATATGTTTTTTATTCACCACACAACAGACGTTTGATGCTTTTTTGTAGTGTATTGTTTTTTCTGCAACTGTTTAAAATTTATGGATCCCATTTGATTGAAAAAAACAAAACTTGTATCCCAGTTCCACATCTCCACTAAAACTTTGCTATTATGAGTCATAATAGTGATTTAGCCGATTGAGCCATAATTATGAGATAAAAGGCTTTACTTTCACTAGATCAACAGAAATGAGTTTCTTTAAAACGTTGCAATACATTTGCTGTACTAATGATTTAAAAATACTGTTTTTAAACTCCAAAGATCAGTTTTTATTTGTACTTGATGTAACTGACAATTACCTGTCAAGGTAAATTCTGATTTTTTTTTTAGTACAGCAGAAAAAAAATTGAAGTCTGTAGATGTAATTATTTCAAATAGAAATTTATTTACTGTCACTTACTTTGTTTTGCATTGCATTGGCTCAGCAACGGCAACAAAAAGTAAAAAGTAAAACAGAAGTAATTGAACAATCAATTGAAAAAATAAAAACAAAAAAAACAATTAGCAGGTTTTCATTTGACACAAACAAAATATAAAATGTTATGAAAATGTAACGTTTTAAGACAAACAATAAATATATTAAAATACTAGAATTGTAGCACAGAGCATCTGATTAGATACAAGAGATATTGTTCAGAGTGAGACCTCTCGCCTCGCTGCAGCAAACAGAAAGGGGCGGGGCTTGGCTCTGACAGAAGAAACTACAAATCAGGTAAGAAGTTCTGCAACATCTGTTACATTTTCTTTCACTTTGAATTCATGTTTAAGGTGTTTCCAGTCTGATTGTTGCTCAGATTTTCTTCATCAACCATTTGGATCATTTGAACAAACAGTAAGTTTTATTTTTTTATCCTTCTTGAACTTTGAGTTTAGGAACGTTCCTGCTAGTTTTTGCTCTCTGATGTTTAGAAAACATGTTCACTGCTTATTCAGATCCAAACATCCCATTTTCAAGGAGTCACTGGTTTCATCTTTCATTGTTCAGGTTCCTGAGTCAGAATCCAGAACCTCCTGTAAATCCTGGAGGTTGAATGTTCAGGTTCTCCCAAACATCCAACAAGCTGCCAACTCAACAGGTTCTGGTTCTGATAACTTTTTATCAGTCATATTTGGATCATTTAAAAACCCTTCATCAATAATCAATAATCAGACGTCATTCAGGTTGTAGTTTCCCCACCAACGAAGAGTCCAGTTGGTTCCAAGTTAAAACAGGTTCTGGTTGCATTAGAGCTGAACAGAACCTGGATCAGCAGAATAACAGCAGCAGAACATTTGTGTTCAAACTGAGAGTTATGAGTAGATTTTATGTCTTCAGACGTCATCAGATAAACTTTTATCTGACAGTTCTCAGTCAAACCAGTCAAACCAGTTTCACCTCATTTCCACTGTTAAGGTTTGGTACCAGTCTGGTTCTGTTGGGTCTCAGTTTGTTAATCACATATTCTTGTTCAACTCTTTGGATCGTCTGAAGAAACTGTAAGTTTGTTTTGTTTTCTACATGAAATTTGTCTTCAGAAACTTTACAGCCAGTTTGTTATTTTTCTCTCTGATGTTTGGAGAAAATGTTCACCTTTAATTTCAGATCAAACTTTAATCTCTGTTGTTTGAAGGTTAATCTACAGAATTATTGATGAACTAGAATCAAAGAAGATGAACATTTGATGTTTTTGTTCTGGTCTCAACAAATTGATTCATGATTTTCCCATTACATCAAACTCTGGTCTCCACCATTAAAGACAAAAACAACAAGTTTGTCCTACTTTCATTCAAAAGGAAGTAGGACAAATGCTGCTACAGTAAGATGTGTTTAATTCAGTCAAATTACTTGATACTTAATCTGAATTGCATTGAATCCACTTGTAGAGATTAATAATTAACTAAAATACTTCCTGTTCAGGTTGAATCAGTGAATGTAAATGTTGCTCCATGTCTCCATCTAGTGGACTGATAGTAGAAATGCAGCAGCTGATGGCAGCTTCCTCTGCCTCTCTGCTGTCTGACTGCATTCACCTGACACTGATATGAAGCAGAGAAGAAGAGCCAATCAGAGGAGGAGCAGCTGATCTTTTTCCAGCACTAATGATGTAAAGGATGATCAGAGTTGATGTGCAGATGAATGATGTGTGTTTCCTCTGCAGGTGAAGCTAGAAAGTGTGTGAGCTGATGTGGATTCAGCAGCATGGATCAGTGTGAGGACAGAGAGGAGGGAGTCCCTCCCTCTAAAACCACTCTGTGTGGGGAAGATGAGAGCCAGAGCAAAGGTCAGAGGTGAGGTCACCATCTCTAACTGTCCACAGCCCTTTTCACACAGCGTTCACTATATCAGGCCAGAACAGACGTGGTGATGAAGCTGCTGCTGCTCCTCTTTGCTGATTAAGTTTTAATCATCATGTTTCTGTCAGGATCCATCAGAGACTCAAACCAGAACCAGAACCAGAACCCAGCTGTGTGTCCTTTAAGAGCGACAGGTCAAAGGGTAAACTTATTGACTTTAAATCCCCTGGATCTCCACCATCAGAGAGGTGAGCTGTTTCTAACTGCTGTAACTTCTGTTTATATCTGTTATTGCGGCCATGTGATGATAAGTTCTGTTGGGTTCTGTTGTCATGAAAACATTAGACTGAATTTCAGGTAATTTTTCTTTTCATACGTCAAAGATGTAATACGTATGATGTCTCCATGAAAACATGTTCCAATAATGAACATGTTACTATGAACACAATAAAGTTCAACTGGATCCTTTGTATAAAAATCAAACAGGTCCGTTTGGATCCACAGTCTCTACCCAGAGCTTCACTAGTTAACAGAATCTCTAAATCTGATCTGATGTTTACCTGACATCAATTTAACCATCATTCATTGGACAGTTATTGACTCCATACAGAAAGAATCTTATAAATCCTCAGTCAGGACTCACTCTTATAAACTATTATGTTGACATGACATTTGGACCAGAAACATTTAACTGTTTTATTCTGTTTTGTTTAAGCCTAATTTTTCCAAATGAAACATTTATTTAGTCTGATATTAATATTAACACAAGAACAAATAGACAGAAGTGAATTTTATTTCTAGGTTGATATTTGCATCTTTCTCTAAAATCTGACAAAAGACAGATTCATTCTGAAATAAAACATTTTCCATAAATTATTTTTATGGTTCCACCTCTGAAGTTCAAACATCATCCAACATGGCAGATTATCAACCATTTCTCCAGTGAAACTAAATATTTAGTGGATCTGATTGAGCAGTGGGCTTCAGTGTCTCTAACGGACCATCTGGTTCTGATTGAAGCTCCATCAGATCCTCCTTGGATGGTCAGAGTGGAAATGATTCCTGGTTCTGCTCCATGTCAGAGCTCAACACTAAGATCACCAAACTGTTCTCTCAGTCATTTCAAACCAACATGTTGGTCTCAGAAACAAATCTTTCTGCTCTTTAAAGAAGGCTGGACATTATTCAGGAGGATCAATGATCAGGAACATGTTGGAGGATTGGACCGGTTCTGGTCCATCAGGACTTGGTTCCTGTGTGCATTGTGAGAGCAGTTCAGCAGGGAAGGAAAGCTTCATGATGTGGTTGGTGAGATCTGCTGGAACTCAACCAAACTGAGCTGATGTGGATCATCAGAGGTTCTGCTGGTTCTTAATGGATCAGCAGGAACATTAAATCTTTACAACTACTTAGCTCATCTGGTTCACTGCTCACATCCAGATATCACTTCATGGACCTTTATCTTCTGATTGTCTCTGTGAGGACAGATACAATGTGAGCTCACTGGCTTCCAGGGATCTACAGGATCCATTTTAAATCCCCTCTATAACATCCAGGAGAGGATCCCACCAGTGGCGGAGCCAGAGGGGTGGCCGGGGTGGCACTTGCCACCCCCAGCAGAGCCCTTGCCACCCCTCTGGAAATGGTCATTTTAAAATATAATACTTATGAGATCGGCAAAGATTTGCCAGGAAAACTGTAATTTCCGACTGTCCCTGAAGGCAGCCCGATGCCCGACGCTGTTTATTGGTTAAACTGACATGTTGGTTCCTGCTTGATCCAAAACACATCAATGGCTTTAGAGTTACACCGTCCAGGAGTTTTGCAGGTATTTACAACATTTTACCGCTCAGCAGTAACCGCTGTTACCTTCCTAATGAGAGGCGGCACTTGTCAAACATTTCTAAAAAAAATGGTTGTGCACCGCTGCATAGTGCCTCATTTATTATATTAGCCATGCTAGTGCTGATAGATCGTGTTTTAGACAGATTCTTTTAACATATGTTTTAGTGACATGCTGCCCTCTAATGTTTTATATCTCCCAGCTCTTGCTTGAAATGTGTGGTAAGAATATGTGAAAAACCATTAAGTTTTATAATGACTGAAATATAAGTAGGCTATGTCATATGAAAGCTTTGAATTATAACCTCACTAGTTATATTAATTAATTTTAATTAATGTATTTTTAATTTAGTATTTTAGCTAGCTACAGAAAACTAAAAACTAGTTTAAATAATAGTTAAAATAGTGTTGTCTCTGCCAAACAGTCATGGAGTCTAAATACCAGGCTCTTATTTAGTGTAGAGCCCAAATGAAGAGAAAAGGGAAAATCTCCCAGTTCTTCTTAAAGAGGCAAAAACCAGGACCAGACCAGGACCAGATAGAACCCTGCAGCAGTGACCAGGACCAGACAGAACCCTGCAGCAGTGACCAGGACCAGACAGAACCCTGCAGCAGTGACCAGGACCAGACAGAACCCTGCAGCAGTGACCAGGACCAGACAGAACCCTGCAGCATTGACCAGGACCAGACAGAACCCTGCAGCATTGACCAGGACCAGACAGAACCCTGCAGCAGTGACCAGGACCAGACAGAACCCTGCAGCAGTGACCATCCTGGAGAATCCAGCCAGGAGACACCAGGCCCAAGTGGATCACCAGCGGGTTAGAGGCTGTGACAGAGAGTTATTAAGTATTAAAATCCAATAAGCCTAATTCTAAAGGTTAGCATGATGCTTTTTGCATTTTGTGTCTGTTTATGCATTTCCAATTAAGTTCCAGAGAGAGATGAGGGTGATACAGATTCAGAGTCAGTGTCTGGGGAGGAAGACAGTGAAGCAGAAGGAAATGGCACTGAACTGCCCCCACCCAGCTCAACCTATTGCACACCAGAAGCACCAGTTTATTTATTTATTTATTTATTTTTGAGAATTTGTTTTTGGTCATATTCTGGGCTCTGAGTTTACATTTACATGTTCACTGTTCCATAGTGCCATTTAACATCTTGTTTGGTCATGGCAAATCTTAGTTAAATAAACCATTTTAATTTGAGTGTGTGAGAGAATATATTTGTTTCCTTTCATTCATCATTTGTATATGAACCCCTCTGATAAAGCCTTGCTCACCCTTTGGCCACCCCTTGAAAAAAGTCTAGCTTCGCCACTGGATCCCACATGGACACACCCACATATTTCAGACCTCCTCCATGTCCACATCACCTCAGATCTAGTCATCAGAACCTGATGGATGTCCCACACTGTCCTAAAGACCAGTGTGGACAGAGCCTTCACTTCCACTGTCCTCAAGCTCTGGGAAACTGTCTCCACCAGCATCAGATCTGCTGACAGTTTGGACTGTTTGAAGTCCAAGTTCAGCACCAATTTTTTAGAATGTCTATTGGATGATTCTGTTGTTGTTTTTTTTACTTCATCTTTGTATTTCATCTTCCTCTTTCTAATGTCTTTGTATTATGTTTCTGTGATAATCAATTTTTCTGCTTCAAGCGATTAATGTGAAACTTTTGGTGAAAAAATCTGTTTACTGTTGGATGAATATTTCCTGACTTCCTAATTGTTCCTGGTTCCTCCACAGAGTGGACCAGCAGAGCTCAGAGGTTCCCAGGGGTCCATCTGCCCAGCAGCATCAAACACAGCTGGACTCCATATTTATGGTCTGTATTTGAACAACAAATACTTTTCCATGAGTTCTGTTCAAAGTCACCTTCATGCTGCACTTTGTAGACCAGAGGACTGTCAGTCTGTCCAACATCCATCTGGTGTTTGGCTCCATGATTTCACTCTGATGTTTCCTTCATCTATTATTGTGTTCCAGCTGCTGGAAGACAACATTGTTACTTTTGTGAAGAAGAACTGAAGAAGATCCAGAAAGTTCTGAGTCCAGATTACCCAGAACATTCAGAGAGTCAGAGAGATGATGAGGTGTTGGAAGGTGATGATGAAGAGCAGAGGAGGAGCAGCAGAGAGGCAGTGATGAAGATCACACTGAACTTCCTGAGGAGGATGAAGCAGGAAAAGCTGGCTGACCATCTGCAGATCAGTAAGAGGATTTCTAAAGAGATTTGAAATGATGGATAAATAATACATTTGCTGAATTGTCAAAAGATGGAATCACATTTATCTAAAACATCTTGAGAAGTTATGTAATCAAATTCAAAAAAGGATTTACTTTCATGTCTGATTTTCATTATTGTGTTAATTTAGCACATCTTGCTGCAGTTTGTCATCAACTTAAATCTGGTCTGAAGAAGAAGTTCCAGTCTGTGTTTGAGGGAATTGCTAAAGCAGGAAGTCCAACCCTTCTGAACCAGATCTACACAGAGCTCTACATCACAGAGGGAGGGACTGGAGAGGTCAATGATGAACATGAGGTCAGACAGATTGAAACAGCATCCAGGAAACCACACAGACCAGAAACAACAATCAGACAAGAAGACATCTTTAAAGTCCCACCTGGAAGAGATCAACCAATCAGAACAGTGATGACAAAGGGAGTGGCTGGCATTGGGAAAACAGTCCTAACACAGAAGTTCACTCTGGACTGGGCTGAAGACAAAGCCCACCAGAACATCCAGTTAATATTTCCATTCACGTTCAGAGAGCTGAATGTGCTGAAAGAGAAAAAGTTCAGCTTGGTGGAACTTGTTCATCATTTCTTTAGTGAAACCAAAGAAATCTGCAGCTTTGAACACTTCCAGGTTCTGTTCATCTTTGATGGCTTGGATGAGAGTCGACTTCCACTGGACTTCCACAACAAGGAGATCCTGACTGATGCTACAGAGTCCACCTCAGTGGATGTTCTGCTGACAAACCTCATCAGGGGGAAACTGCTTCCCTCTGCTCTCCTCTGGATAACCACACGACCTGCAGCAGCCAATCAGATCCCTCCTCAGTGTGTTGGCATGGTGACAGAGGTCAGAGGGTTCAATGACCCTCAGAAGGAGGAGTACTTCAGGAAGAGATTCAGAGATGAGGAACAGGCCAGCAGGATTATCTCCCACATGAAGACATCACGAAGCCTCCACATCATGTGCCACATCCCAGTCTTCTGCTGGATCACTGCTACAGTTCTGGACGATGTGTTGGAGACCAAAGAGGGAGGAGAGCTGCCCAAGACCCTGACTGAGATGTACATCCACTTCCTGGTGGTTCAGACCAAAGTGAAGAAGGTCAAGTATGATGGAGGAGCTGAAACAGATCCACACTGGAGTCCAGAGAGCAGGAAGATGATTGAGTCTCTGGGAAAACTGGCTTTTGATCAGCTGCAGAAAGGAAACCTGATCTTCTATGAATCAGACCTGACAGAGTGTGGCATCGATATCAGAGCAGCCTCAGTGTACTCAGGAGTGTTCACACAGATCTTTAAAGAGGAGAGAGGTCTGTACCAGGACAAGGTGTTCTGCTTCGTCCATCTGAGTGTTCAGGAGTTTCTGGCTGCTCTTCATGTTCATCTGACCTTCATCAACTCTGGTGTCAATCTAATGAAAGAAACACAAAGATCTAAGAAATCTTCACTATTTAATAAACGTAAACTAAAGTCTCTCCATCAGAGAGCTGTTGACCAGGCCTTACAGAGTCCAAATGGACACCTGGACTTGTTCCTTCGTTTCCTCCTGGGACTTTCACTGCAGACCAATCAGAGACTCCTACAAAGTCTGCTGACACAGACCGGAGGTAGCTCACAGACCAATCAGGAAACAGTTCAGTACATCAAGAAGAAGATCAGTGAGAATGTGTCTGCAGAGAAAAGCATCAATCTGTTCCACTGTCTGAATGAACTGAATGATCGTTCTCTAGTGGAGGAGATCCAACAGTTTCTGAGTTCAGGAAGTCTCTCCACAGATAAATTGTCTCCTGCTCAGTGGTCAGCTCTGGGTTTCATCTTAGTGTCATCAGGAAAAGATCTGGATGTGTTTGACCTGAAGAAATACTCTGCTTCAGAGGAGCTTCTTCTGAGGCTGCTGCCAGTGGTTAAAGCCTCCAACAAAGCTCTGTAAGATCATAGATTGTTAATGCAGTTATGTTCATAAAAATCTGCTATTGATGAGGTAAATATATATTTATGTTTCAGATTATTTATTGGTGGATTGTTTCTTCAAAGTGTCTAAATTGAATAGTATTTCAGATTTTTGTCTTACTTCTGGTTAACTTAGAAGGTGAGTGTTAAGAATTAATAAGAGGAATAACTTTATTTAGCTCGTTAATTAATTCTTTGTCCCGAATTCCTGTGTCTGTGTAAGTGTGCAGAGAGAAAAGAGCAATCATACGACATCAGACTTCAGATATTCAGAGTTTTATCCAGAGAAATTCAATGCAGTTCAGAATGTTACAACAAGCATCTCACCCTAGATTATCCAAAAGTCCAAGACATGACCAAAACAGAGACAAAGAACTGAGTAAAAAGACAAAAGATTAACAGAAGATGCATCCTCCGGGAAACTCTCACTCAGCACAAAGAGATTCCAACTTCTGCTGTGAAACAAACCATTTTTTATAGAATGTGTATTCTCCTCATTTAAATATATGCATTAGGAGGTGTGTTCTTTTTCTTTGTGTGGGCTGTCTTAATGTTAATTTTATTACCTCCTGCTAAAGAGCCCCAAAGGCAGATATACGGCCCGGCTCTTCTCGTACCTGCCGCTGTCCAGTTTGATATATGATTGCAGCTGCAGTGTTATCTCTGCCTCAAAATGTTTTCACAAGAAAGTAGTTTGTATTTTTAACCAAGCTTGCACACAATGTAATGCTAAATAATGACTATAAGTTTGGATCTAATAAGTAACTAATTAAAAACATGCTTAAAGAAATATAGTTAATTCTAATATAGATCAAATTATTTATAAAAAGTTTTAAGATCCTAGTGAACTTTTGAACGATGCTAAGGAATTTGATAATTGCCTGGCAGACAGGCTCCCTATCCAAAGAGATTCAAGGCGTCTAGGCCTGTTTTCTGTCTACTCCTCTGCGTTCAGAGAGTCACCAGCTGTCCCAGTTTGGATCTGTATCTAAGTTTATCTTAACCTAAAAGTTAACTTATGTACTATTGTGCTACTTTAAAATTCTTATTCCAACATGAGCTATTACTGTTACAAGTTAATCTTCTAAACTAACAAAAAGTAACTGTTAGAGATGATCAATAAACTGGACTGATATTTTAATGCAATATTAACACAGGTGTTATGCCAGATTTACCAAGATTTTATTTTATCATTGTTTTTTATTAAATTAATTGTAAGAATAATTGATAGATTATTCTAGTAATCGAGTGATTACTAAAATATTTGTTTTAAGCATCCCTAGTAAAATAAAGTTTTCCAAAAAATATTTTTGGTAGGAAAAAAAATAAAATTATGAGGAATTGTTTAACAACAGATTTTCCTCCCTGTCTCCTCAGACTGAGTGGCTGTAACCTCTCAGAGAGAAGCTGTGAAGCTCTGTCCTCAGTTCTCAGCTCCCAGTCCTCCAGTCTCAGAGAACTGGACCTGAGTAACAACAACCTGCAGGATTCAGGAGTGAAGCTTCTCTCTGCTGGACTGAAGAGTCCAAACTGCAACCTGGAAACTCTCAGGTAACTCTGGGCTCTTGACAAATTGCTGCATCTTAGGAGTAAAAATAAGCATAATTACAGATTCATCCATCCATCAGTTCAGACCTTGGTCTCTACCTCAATGTTCTCATTTTCTCATCATGTGATGAATTGTGTGTCTGCAGCTTATCAGGCTGTTTGGTCTCAGAGGAAGGCTGTGCTTCTCTGGCCTCAGCTCTGACCTCCAACCCCTCCCATCTGAAAGAGTTGGACCTGAGCTACAATCATCCAGGAGACTCAGGAGTGAAGATGCTGTCGGCTGGACTGAAGGATCCACACTGGAGACTGGAAGCTCTCAGGTATGGAGGAACATCCTGCAGGAGCAGAGAAGGTCTGATAGAGGAGGAAGAGGGAGAAATGTCTTTAGTCAGTCTGCTGGGAAACATTTAGGTTGAAGATCAAAATTGATTATGCTAATTCAGTATCTGTCTTGTATTTATTACAGTTAAATTATAAATACTGCTGGTAATTTTAGCTTTGTAAGTTTGCAAACTACATCCAATTAAAAACTGTAGGAATCTTCCACATGGTTCTGAATGAACCTGGGAAACCAACCCATCTACTGAACCACAATAACATGGTATTCAGAGCAGCAGGGGGCCAAATATAGCTCCATGTGGAACCAAGAGGTTGGAGAGAGAAAATCAGTTGAAACTGTTTCCTATCAGAGTTCAGTTTGTCTCTCTGTCTTCACAAACCAGGAGCATCATGGGCTGGGCGGGCTTCCACTGATGATCTACTGAGGAAATACAAGAAGCTGATTGGCTGATGGACAGGAAGTTAAAATATGAAGATTAATAACATCATAAATCAGATATTATTGGTGTTGTGTATAGATGTAGTGCTGCATCACATGGTGTTATTAGTGATTATAGATCAGCTGTTGCTCACCTGGTGACTTTAGTCAGTGATGATGGAGGAGGTTTAGTTTTTACTGATCACTTTAAGCTTTTATGTTTTTATCTTTGATCTTTGTTTAAACCTGTTAATCTGGTTTTAATGCTTTTGGACACAAATATCTGTTTTCCACTGATGTTCTGGATCTTTGATGATATTAAGGAAAATAAAATCATCTTAACTGCAGATTGGATTTAAGTTTTGATCAGAGATTTTGTTTGACAGTCGCTAATAATTAGTAATAAAGAGACATGGCTGAGAGCAAATATACAGTCATATGAAGAAGTTTGGGCACCCCTATTAATCTAAATTATTTTCATCTCTAAATATTTGGATGTTTGTAATAACTACTTCAGTTTGATATAACCAATAACTTATGGACACAGTAACATTTCAATATTGAAATGGGGTTTATTGGACTAAAAGAAAATGTGCAGTACACATAAACACAAAATTTGACAGGTGCAAAAATATGGGCACCTCAACAGAAAAGCAACATTAATATTTAGTAGATCCTCCTTTTGCAACAATAACAGCCTCTAGTCGCTTCCTGTAGCTTCTAATGAGTTCCTGGATCCTGGATGAAGGTATTTTTGACCATTCTTCTTTGCAAATCAATTCCAGTTCAGTTAAGTTTGATGGTCGCCGAGCATGGACAGCCCGCTTCAAATCATCCCAAAGATGTTCAATAATATTCAGGTCTGGGGATTGGGATGGCCGTTCCAGAACATTGTAATTGTTCCTCTGCATGAATGCCTGAGTAGATTTGGAGCGGTGTTTGGATCATTGTCTTGCTGAAATATCCATCCCCGGCGTAGCTTCAACTTCATAACTGATTCTTGAACATTAGTCTCAAGAATCTGTTGATATTGAGTGGAATCCATGCGACCCTCAACTTTAACAATATTCCCAGTACCAGCATTGGCCACACAGCCCCAAAGCATGATGGAACCTCCACCAAACTTCACAGTGGGTAGCAAGTGTTTTCTTGGAACGCTGTGTTTTTTTGCCGCCATGCATAACGCCTTTTTTATGACCAAACAACTCAATCTTTGCTTCATCAGTCCACAGGACCTTATTCCAAAATGAAGCTGGCTTGTCCAAATGTGCTTTTGCAGACCTCAAGCGACGCCGTTTGTGGCGTGCTTGCAGAAAAGGCTTCCGTGCATCACTCTCCCATACAGCTTCTCTTTGTGCAAAGTGCGCTGAATTGTTGAATGATGCACAGTGACACCATATGCAGCAAGATGATGCTGCAGGTCTTTGGAGGTGGTCTGTAGGTTGTCCTTCTCAGTTCTCACCATTCTTCTTCTCTGCCTCTCTGATATAACCCAGAAGTGGCCTGCCACTTCTGGGTTTAACATGTACTGTCCCTGTGGTCTTCCATTTTCTTACTATGTTCCTCACAGTGGAAACTGACAGTTTAAATCTCTGAGATAACTTTTTGTATCCTTCCCCTAAACAACTGTGTTGAACAATCTTTGTTTTTAGATCATTTGAGAGTTGTTTTGATGTGCCCATGATGCCACTCTTCAAAGGAGATCAAGACTGGAGAACAACTTGCAATCGGCCTCCTTAAATACCTTTTCTCATGATTGGATATACCTGGCTATGAAGTTCAAAGATTAATGAGGTTGCCAAACCAATTTTGTGTTTCAGTAAGTCAGTGAAAAGTAGTTAGGAATATTCAAATCAATTAAATGATAAGGGTACCCACATTTTTGCACCTGCCAAATTTTGTTTTTATGCATATGTAAATGCCCTGTAAAAGGGGGATATTTTAATAAAGAGCCAGACACGGTGCTTCTGCTCCAGCGATTATTATTATCAGAGGAGGAAGTTCCGGTGCTCTTCACTATAACTAGCGCAAGCGCTAGGCTCCCCCTGCTGGTGGCATCTGGCCACTGCTTTAACCAAATCAGCCTAGTCAATCTCTGAGGTGACAAAATTTCAATCCATCACACATATTGCCCATTTTCTGTTAGTACAATAAACCTCATTTCAGTACTGAAATATAACTGTGTATATCAGTTATTAGATATATCAAACTGAGATAGCTGTTGCAAACACCCAAATATTTAGAAATAAAAATAATACAGATTAATGGGGGAGCCCAAACTTTTTCATATGACTGTAAATTTTAGAATCAATTTAAATGTTTCAGTGACAGGAAGAAAAAAACAAGAAACATAAATAGAGGAACTGATCCAGAAAGATATAATTATTATCAATAACATGTAGTAACTTTAATGCATATTGAATATAATGGGATGGAAACAGAAAACTGAAAGTAACTGAAAGAGCAGAAGAACATTTAGAGATACGAACTGATGATGTTTGAATGATGGAAAAGAGACAAAAGATGTTGATGAAGGAAACGGATCAGTTCTTGATTTAACACTCGTGTTTAGGAAGATTTCAGCTGATTGTGGAAAATTATTCTGACTAAGAACGTGAGGAGAGCCTGGAGCTAAATAGGAGCTGGAAATAATAATGAATTTATTCTGATTCAAC